GCCCCAGCCCCAGCCCCAGCCCCAGCCCCAGCCCCAGCACTCACCCTGGACAGCTCCTGCTCATACTTGCCCATGAGTCCCTGGGCTGTTTGCAGTAGCTGTTCCAACTGTTTCAAGGGGATGATGTTGTTGGGCAGGTAAGCCACACAATAGCATATGCCATCCTTATCCACGTGGCCTGGCACAGTCTTTACCAGCTGCAAAATTATGGTTACAGGCACATTAAGCACATATGTTGGAACAGTGTGCTTTTTGGCAACATGAGGCAGGAAAAGAGGCTGACCCTGCCGAAGATGAGCTCTCTACACAGGAGGCTGTTCCTGACCGTCTGGACATTCTTCCGTTATGGGTTTGAGTGACCCTTCCCTTGAACTCAGAACTGAAGCCACGGTCTCCTTCTAGCTCCTATACTGGCTGGATCTGGCTGCAACTCCCATATCTGGAAGCAGACATTTCCTGGATGCTCTGTGGGAGGGAGGAAAGCTGCTCTCATGGGGCTTGTCAGGGGACCAGTTTAGGTGCTGCAGTTCTATAAAGTGCCCTCACTGTAGAGATTTAGTAGATCCCCACAACTTTACTTTGTCTTGAAGACAGCAGGTACAGAGAGTTCCAATTTGTCAAAGAGAACAAAATATTAACAGCACCACAGGGCACCAGAGTCTGGACTGATATTCAGCATTCACAAGACCATGATAAGGTGGGACTTGTTATTCACATTTTATAATTGAAAAACCATAGGTTTTGAGGATTTTCAAAAATATTTTACTGAGTCACATGATTAATAAGTGATAAGGCTGAAAGCTGCCTGCAGGTCTCATGTTTGTTCTACAGCCTTAGACTCCTAAGGGAGTGTTGGTGTGGGTGTGCAATGCAGGTCAACAGGGTGAGGGTGGCAGGCAGCTGATTTGCATCAAGTAAGCAGAGTGAGGGGGGAAGGGTTCTAGAAATGAGAGATGCATCATTTGGAGTCTTCTCCCCTTTGCCTATAAACTTACTTATAAACCTACTGATTCCAGAGCCAGTTGCCTGAGTCTACTTCTGGCTCTGTGACATTGAGTGAATTACTTTTCTCTCTGTGTGTTCCAGTGTCCTTGTGTGAAATGAGGACACTTATGTTTTACTTTAAAAACTGTAAATATATGTAGAGATTAATTTGTAAAGATTATTACTAGCTTATGGTTAGTATAATTAGTTATTATAGGTTCTAAGTTATTAAGACTCTTATAAGCTTATTAGTTTTTATGATCTCCTATGGTCACCTCTCCACTCCCATTTTGAAGCTGGATGAGCCAGCACTGGACTGAAGACTTCTTCCCAAGTTGTTGATTAGGCCTGTGACACCAGCTGAGATTTCTTTACAGAATCTTCAAGAATTAAGATATGTCCAGGTGCTTCTCTGAATAGTCCCACACAAAGCTTCTGTGGCCATGTTGTTAATCTGGCATTGTCTTCAGCCTGCTGCAACTCCAACCCAATAGTGTAGCTTTCTGGGATAATGCAGCACAGATCACATGCTTACTACAACAGCCCAGGCTCATCTCCCTTAGCTCCAGCATCCTTAGCACAAGTAAAGGGTGGCCAACTTCTGCATACAATGAAGATTTGTGAAGAGCAGGTGGATAGCCCAGAATTCTTCCCTCTCACCTTCATTCTTGTTTTCCTCTCTCACCCTATGCCCACCCATACCCAGGGATCATCAGAGCAGGCAGGGTACTCCATCTTCCTTCCACCCATCCCTCTCCACCTTTACTCTCTCTCAGAACCTGGGGTACTTGAAAAGAATCCGAGCAGTGAAGGAAGCCAGTCCAAAGCACAGAACCATCTCCCTCCCTGCTTGTGATCCCTCCACCATCCACCTGTACCTGAGGCTGTCCTTGGATAACCAGGGACAGCAGCAGTAGAGTGGTCAGAAGGGCTGGGGCCAGCTGCATCTTGCATCTGCTGCAGGATGAACTAAGACCTCTGAGTTCCCCTAGGCTTTTATCTCTGGCCCAAGTGAATAGTCTCACTAGGAGGGGCACAGATTTCAACATCTGAACAGAATGAGAATGGAAGAGGGTGTGAACAAGGTATGGGGTAAGTGGTGGGAGAGAAGGATTGCGAAAGACTGGGGCCTGCAGAACGGGGGTGGAAATGAGTTTGTTACTATAAGCAGGGTCTTTCTCATCCATTCCCAACCTGGGATCTGCCCTTGTCCTGCTGGACCCCCCTGACTAAACAGATTAAGAAAAACCTGATATATTCTGTGGGGACATTGGAATAAGTCCTTTTCAGGAAGGATTATGGCCTTTCCCTCAACTTTGATGGAGGAAATACTCTAGGAGGAAATGCAACCCTACCTGCTTCATCTTGAGGACAGAGCCATTAACTTAACCACTTGCCTTTGGATGAAGGCCAAGCTGTATATTTAGGGAGGTTGCTTCAGCAACACTGTACTAGTTTATTCTGTTATGTGCACTGCCTCACCCCTAGAAATTTGTCTCCTCCACCATTGTAGGCTTTCTAAACATTTCTATCCCATCCCACTATTCAAACGTAGCTCCCAATTTTGAGCTCCTGATGCCAGCAGCCTCAGTGTCTGTCCTTCAGGAATGTTTCCTCCCAGCACCTTCTAACTAGCCAAAGGAACCTGTTGAACCTTCAGTCCCCTAGCCTCCCAATGAGGCTCCCTACAGAAAGGAAAGAGTTTGGGTCATGAGTCCTGGATAAGGAGTCACAATTCAGTGTCCCTGGTGTTGTTATGCTTAGGTATTTCTCAGGCAGTGTCCCCATTCAGAGCCACCTTTCACTAACCTGGTTCTGGCCAGACAGAGTGATGGGGAAAAACAAGATCCTGATCCCCCGCTGTGTGCTGGGCCTCTCTGTCTGACATGGTCCAAGCCCGACCTCTTCTATATGAGTGTGATACATCTGTGGAGATCAATATACAGTTATGAATAGTCCAGGCATTGAAGACCCAGGCAGAGAGAGGTCAGTTCAATGTGCACTCTGCCCCCATGATAGAAATAGAGCTGTGGTGAACATCTATCAGCAGATGATGGAGTTGCCTTGGTTAGAGCTCCACCCAGATGGGTCCTGCAGCACTGCTTGGCCATATGAGGGTGAACACTGGAGAAAACAGAGTACGCATTCATTCCCATGGAAGGCCCTCTCAGGGCCTACAACTCTCACTGCTCCTGTCCAGTAGAGCTGAAGCAAGTACTTGAGCCTCTGAGCAATCTGCTGGGTCTGTACTCCATAAACCACAGGATTGAGTCAGCTATGCCCCATAGCACAGAGGCTGGCAGATGGCCACTTAGCAGTATACAGCCATGGCGAGCAGCACTGAAGACTTAGCAATGAAGGCCACATGGGCGACATAGAGCTGATCTAGACAGCCTCCCAAAGAGATCACATCTTACAGACCCCAGGGCACAGCGAGGGCACTGTGGATATGGCCAGGACCAGGTCAATGGCTGTCAGGAGCCCCAGCAGCTGGTACATGGGTGCCAGAGTGGCCATCTATAGCAGGCACACCGGCACAGAAAGCCAGGCATGCAAAGCTTGCAGTCCTGGCATTTATTCCCAGCAACACAAAGAGGAGCCCAGAGATGAGCACAGTCTGGTGGAAAGCAGGCAATGTGGGATCTAGCTCCACCTCCTGGTCCCACCTGACTGTTCCTGCAGGGTATAAATGTTTCTACAAAGATTTTTAGATTGGTGGGGGTTGGGATCAGGGCTTAGGATGCTGCAGCATTTACTGAGAGCTGTCTTTATGCCAGACAGTTTTAAGAATTTTGCATATGCTGACCTACAGATTTTCTTTTCTCTCTTTTTTTTTTTTAGACAGAGAAAAAGAGGGAGAAAGACATCGATTTGCTATTCTACTTGTTTATGCATTCATTGGTTGACTCTTGTGTGTGCCCCGACGGGATCAAACCTGCAACCTTGGCATATTGGGATGACGACCTAACCAACTGAGCTACCCAGCCAGAGCTTGACCTATAGATATTCTAACAGTCTGTGTGTTTGCTAATGTTCCCATAAGATGGATCAAGGAATTTAGCTTCTGAGAGGTTAACAGTTTTACTCTAGGTCACACATATGGGAAATAGAACCAGGATTTGTACCAATACTCATTTGGCTAAAGACCATGCTCTTCAGACTGTCTTCTCTGGATGGAATGTCTCCTCCTCAGCTCAGGCTCATGGAGGCATCGAAGTGTGCTTTTCTTGATGACCGTCCCAGTGGGTGTCAGTCTTGTTAACTAAGCCTAACCCCTCCAACTGCCATACAGCCTCTGTGCTCCCTCCACCCTGGGGGAGCGGTAAAGCAGGGGAAGGGAATACACAATGGCTATTTACTGAACACCTGTCAGTAAATGGAGTGAAAAAGTTCCTCTTCCAAGTTCCTTTTCCAGAAGCGACTTTAATAGCTTAGACACACTCTTTGCAATGTTACAATCCTCTTAGACTCTCCAGTACTTTCTCCCAGCTGCCCATGTCCTCTGACATCCCTCCCTCCAGCTTCGATGCACAGTATCTCTATGTACTTGTGTCATAAAACTTAGTTCTTCTACTGGCCAGTATAGATATTCATGTCCTAACTCAGCTTTGTGGCTCTTTTTCTTCTGTCCTTTATCTGTGGGGAAACCCGTGGGCTGTACAGAACTCAGTCTGGGAAAATTCTGATTGCACTGAAGGCATAGCAGAGTGTCCGGGTTGAGCTTCAGTAGAAGCAACTGGGGTCAGGTGCCACAATAAAAGTGCAACTGATGATCAGGTTTAGATGGTGGAGGTAAGAGGACCTTACCTGGGTTTAAGTGGGTAAAAAGCAGCCTGGAAGAAGGCTTTCCATGCTCCACGTAAAGACCACTTATGTCCTTGAACTTCATGAGACATAGCATCTGGTATTTTAACCTGACCCTGGGGGCCAAAGAACCTGGGGCAGGTGAACAGAGAATAGGGTCTCTGGCCCTGGGTGAAGCCATCAGGCTTCCCACGGTCTGCATGTGCTCCAGCCTTATGTGCACTCCCTCCTGCGCTTTCCCTCACATCCCCACATTTTGACTCTTGCAGAGTAGGCTCAGGTAACAAACCAGGCTAGAGTTTTCTACATGGAAGTCTTATTGGTTTAGAAACCAGAGCTTCCTTCTGAAGGATGAGACTTCACCAAGTCATGGGGCCTATCCCACAATGGGAGCCCTTGTGGGCTCCTTTGAACCCTGGGAAGGTTCTGCCAGGGCCAACAGGGCAGGCCCAGCTTTTACAAAAGAAGGAGGATATGTGAAATTCCTCAGGGCCTGAGAATGCCTCTTCCAAAACCACAGGGTAAGCACAGCTGTACCTGAGCAGGGGCCCGGTAAGCAAGTCCTGTGCTCAGAGTGGGGGCCCTACTAGCACACTTCCTCTTGGTAGAATTCCAGGAACAACTCTCCGCTTTCCCCATGTTCACAGCTCGTACTTTGCTCCTTCCATTTCCTCCCATGGGCTAAGTGACAGGGAGAAGAAAGCCAAGACCCACTTCCCACCCTCCAGCCTCAGCCTCCATTCTGTGTTTGGTTCTCTGCAGGCACAGCTGCACCCTTCTCATCGCCCACCTGTTTACTTGGCCCTCCTTGCCTCATCTCCAAGCCCACCTCCGCTCAGCTTCCTCTGTAGGTCAGGAGTTCAGCAAAGGACACACTGAGGGAGAAGGAAGGTAGGTTTTCTACCCTCCCTGAGCTCCTAGGCACAGGACTGTCTTTGAGCTATGGCTTGGAGTCCAGGAACTTCTCCTCAATGGTGATGCACTTCAAAGGTGTCCCACTGTGGTGCACCCCTGTCTATGATCAGGAAACTGATGTATAGAACAGATAAAGTCACATAAGGCTAGGACCAGGAACAAGATCTGGATCCCAGTCCAGGACAGGTTCCTCTCCTGGAATTTTCGCCTTGCTCCTCAGTTGACAACAATTTGCTTTTGCTTTTTTAAAATGTATCTTTATTGATTTCAGAGTGAGGAAGGGAGAGGAAGAGACAGAGATAGAAACATCAATGATGAGAGAGTCATTGATCGGCTGCAGCCCGCAACCCGGGCATGTGCCCTGACCGGGAATCGGACCCCTATCTCCTGGATCCTAGGTTGCTGAGCCACGCTTGGCTGGGAACAATTTTCTTCTTGACAGGAGATGCTGGCTTGACCACTCACACAGATTTGGGCAGTCTCCTTGCCCCTAGGTTTCCACTCCTATTCTGAGGGAGTCCTCATTCTGACTCCATTCACACTCCTTTTTCCTGGTATGAGTTTCTGGGGCCACTGGTGGTGACCTGCAGGAACCAGCCATAGCCTGGGACTTGTCTGCCACCNGCCACTGGTGGTGACCTGCAGGAACCAGCCATAGTCTGGGACTTGTCTGCCACCATCTGCTACCTCCTCTCCATGGGGTTCCAAGCCAGAGCTCATCACCTCCTCTACTTTTTCTGTTGATCCTTCTCAGGGGGCCTCTGGCTCCTCAGGGCTGTTCTGCTCAGGGTGGCTCACATATTGTGTCCTGCCTAAAGGACCTGAGGGAAAAGGCATTCCCTCCAGGAAAGAGTAGAACACCAAAGAACATGTTAAATGCATCTGGAAGTATTATGGGAAAAAGAAAGCATAGGAAAAAGAGGTCAAGAAATGGACTCAGACAGCAGTCTAGGTTTGTTATATTATTTGGAGTGAATAGATCAATCACTTTGAACCTTGCTTTAAACAGAATATGTGGTCCCCACCCTGATTCTGGAGGCAGTAGGCATGGGAGGGAAACGTGATTCAAGGTTATATTTTTCTCATTTCTGCTTATTCTCAATACTTTTTCTGACAAACCCAACTGACTCTGAACTGTATATAAAATTATGAAGGATATAATATCAACCTATGTAGTTTAGAGCTTAAGTTTGGTGTAAAAGTATGTTTGGATGGAACAGTGATAGGT